GGGGGGGGGTGTCGAACAAAAACATATTAACTTAGTAAGCTGTATAATTTGAGTATTTGACGCCGCCCTACCGTAAATAACGCAATATTTAATTACATTTCGGTAATTGTCTTCATTCTATATGAAAGCAATTAGCATGCGTATCTGACATTGTCATTGAAAGTATATATCTGCATGTATATATAAACTTAATGGAGCAACAGGTATTTATTCCATATGAAATTGCTTAAACAGATCAAACAGTTCAAATTTTAGCCAGGAATTGCATACATACAGTTACACACACACACACATACACACACACACACACACACACACACACCTGTATTTTATCAAATGTATCACTGCTCGTCACAACAGTCCTGTACATTAAATGCTAAGTATCATATTTGCCAAATTATATGAATGTGAAATTCATTTTTATAACTTTTAAACATAATTTGTAATATTGCATCATTTCTATTTATAGAGGCTACTTGTTTTGCTATTTTCAGGTTGGGGGAATTCCAAAATATATACAATGTGTTTGTTTTATCTACCATAATTTATTATGCACACTCAATTTATGACTAATTAAAGGTGCTCATTTGCAAAATTCATGTAATTCATTGCTAACAATATCACTCTATTAAATCTTAAGATTTTCGTGTATTGAGTTCAACTGTTTGTATTCTATTATGTTGAAATTATCTTTTCTGGACAAGGATATTTCTCTACACGTGCTGTAAGCGTCAAATGTAAAACGTGAAATGTAAACATATGCATAGTATAAGTTAGTTTTCTTTATATTACAGAGACATGTACCTCAAATTGAGACTGGTAGTGGTATTGCTGTCACTTTGCCTGATAGTTGTCGTTAAAGGAACGGTATGTTTACATTTAAAGATAAATATCGCTTGCAACTACAACCACCTCAACTCCATGCTTCATGGCTTCCGTTGCATATAGTACATATGTAATTTTGATTAGCTCACTATCACAAAATGGTGACCTGTTCAATTGCGTTCCGTCTGTGGTCCAGCATTCGTTCGTCCGTTTATCAATCTGTCTGTCAGTCTGTAGATAGTTTTGTGATGGTTGTGTCTCAGAAAATACTTCAGGAACTTGATTCAATATGTTATACGAGGTCACCTTGGTTAATAGTTTGCAGTGCTGCAATGCTAATGGTGGATCGAAAAAGCAAAATGGCTGGCAGGCAGCCACCTTGGATATTGCATATCAAGTTTGATGCCTCTATTTTCAGGAAATATTAAAGGAAACATGACCAAAAAATGGGAAAGATATGATTCCCTTACCGCATTCAATTTTTTTAACTTGATAAACAAAATGGTTATCAAGCCATCTTGAAATCAGGTACATTTGAGGTTGATAGGAAAAGCAAAAAAGGCCACCATATGTAGCCATCCTGGATTTTGTATGTACAGTTCATTATTCCTTCATTGCTGAACTGCTCAATGGATCATGGGAAGACCTGGTTTGCATGCTTCCCTTTGACATTTGTTCATGCTCCAATTTGAGATGGATAGGAAAATCTTATACAGACGAAACTCCTTAAAGATCATATAGCAACCTTGTTTAAATGATATCCTGTCAGGTACCTTGTTTACATGATATCCTGTCAGTTTAAACGATATCCTGTCAGGTACCTTGTTAACATGATATCCTGTCAGGTACTTTGTTTACACGATATCCTGTCAATTTACATGATATCTTGTCAGTTTACATGATATCCTGTAATGTACCTTGTTTACATGATATCCTGTCAGGTACCTTGTTGACATGATATCCTGTCAGTTTAAACGATATCCTGTCAGGTACCTTGTTAACGTGATATCCTGTCAGGTACTTTGTTTACACGATATCCTGCCAGTTTACATGATATCTTGTCAGTTTACATGATATCCTGTAATGTACCTTGTTTACATGATATCCTGTCAGGTACCTTGTTTAAACGATATCCTGTCAGGTACTATAGCAACCTTGTTTAAATGATATCCTGTCAGGTACCTTGTTTACATGATATCCTGTCAGTTTAAATGATATCCTGTCATGTACCTTGTTAACATGATATCCTGTCAGGTACATTGTTTACATGATATCCTGTCAGTTTACATGATATCTTGTCAGTTTACATGATATCCTGTCAGGTACCTTGTTTACATGATATCCTGTCAGGGACCTTTTTTACACGATATCCTGTCAGATACCTTTTTTACACGATATCCTTGCAGGTTCCTTGTTTACATGATATCCTGTCAGGTACCTTGTTTACATGATATTCTGTCAGGTACCTTGTTGACATGATATCCTGTCATGTACCTTGTTTACATGATATCATGTTAGGTACCTTGTTTTCATGATATCCTGTCAGTTTACATGATATCCTGCCAGGTACCTTGTTTACATGATATCCTGTCAGGTACCTTGTTTACATAATATCCTGTCGGGTACCTTGTTTACATGATATCCTGTCAGGTACCTTGTTGACATGATATTCTGTCATGTACCTTGTTTACATGATATCATGTCAGGTACCTTGTTTTCATGATATCCTGTCAGTTTACATGATATCCTGTCAGGTACCTTGTTTACATGATATCCTGTCATGTACCTTGTTTACATGATATCATGTCAGGTACCTTGTTTTCATGATATCCTGTCAGTTTACATGATATCCTGTCAGGTACCTTGTTTACATGATATTCTGTCAGGTACCTTGTTGACATGATATCCTGTCATGTACCTTGTTTACATGATATCATGTTAGGTACCTTGTTTTCATGATATCCTGTCAGTTTACATGATATCCTGTCAGGTACCTTGGTTACATGATATCCTGTCAGGTACCTTGTTTACATGATATCCTGATATCCTGTCAGGTACCTTGTTTACATAATATCCTGTCAGGTACCTTGTTTACATGATATCCTGTCATGTACCTTGTTTACATGATATCATGTCAGGTACCTTGTTTCCATGATATCCTGTCAGTTTACATGATATCCTGCCAGGTACCTTGTTTACATGATATCCTGTCAGGTACCTTGTTTACATGATAAACTGTCAAGTACCCTGTTTACCTGATATCCTGTCAGTTTACACGATATCCTGTCAGTTTACGCGATATCCTGTCAGTTTACATGGTATCCTGTCAGGCACCTTGTTTACACGATATCCTGTAAGTTTACATGATATCCTGTCAGATACCTTGTTTACACGATATCCTGTCGGGTATCTTGTTTACATGATATCCTGTCGTGTACCTTGTTTACATGATATCCTGTCGGTTTACAAGATATCCGGTCAGGTACCTTGTTTTACATGATATCATGTAAGGTACCTTGTTTACACGATATCCTGTCAGTTTACATGATATCCTGTAAGGTACCTTGTTTACATGATATCCTGTCAGGAACCTTGTTTACATGATATCCTGTCAGTTTACATGATATCCTGTCAGATACCTTGTTTACATGATATCCTGTCAGGAACCTTGTTTACATGATATCCTGTCGGTTTACATGATATCCTGTCAGGTACCTTGTTTAAACGATATCCTGTCAGGTACCTTGTTTACACGATATTCTGTCAGGTACCTTGTTTTACATGATATCCTGTAAGGTACCTTGTTTACATAATAAACTGTCAAGTACCCTGTTTATATGATATCCTGTCAGTTTACACGATATCCTGTCAGTTTACATGATATTCTGTCAGATACCTTGTTTACATAATATCCTGTCAGGTACGTTGTTTATATGATATCCTGTCAGGTACCTTGTTTACACGATATCCTGTCAGGAACCTTGTTTACATGATATCCAGTCATGTACCTTGTTTACATGATATCCTGTCGGTTTACATGATATCCTGTCAGGTACCTTGTTTTACATGATATCCTGTAAGGTACCTTGTTTACACGATATCCTGTCGGTTTACATGATATCCTGTAAGGTACCTTGTTTATATGATATCCTGTCAGGTACCTTGTTTACACAATATCCTGTCAGGAACCTTGTTTACATGATATCCTGTCATGTACCTTGTTTACACGATATCCTGTCGGTTTACATGATATCCTGTCAGGTACCTTGTTTACATGATATCCTGTCAGTTTACATGATATCCTTTCAGGTACCTTGTTTACACGATATCCTGTCAGGTACCTTGTTTGCATGATATCCTGTCAGTTTACATGATATCCTCTCAGGTACCTTGTTTACATGATATCCTGTCAGGTACCTTGTTTAAATGTCATCCTGTCAGGTACCTTGTTTATAATATATCCTGTCAGGTACCTTGTTTACATGATATCCTGTCAGGTACCTTGTTTACACGATATCCTGTCAGCTACCTTGTTTACATGATATCCTGTCATGTAACTTGTTTACATGATATCCTGTCAGGCACCTTGTTTACATGATATCCTGTCAGGTACCTTGTTGACACGATATCATGTCAGGTACCTTGTTTACATGATATCCTGTCAGGTACCTTGTTTATATGATATCCTGTCAGGTACCTTGTTTATATGATATCCAGTCAGGTACCTTTTTACACGATATCCTGTCAGGTACCTTGTTTACATGATATTCTGTCAGGTACCTAGTTGACATGATATCCTGTCAGGTACCTTGTTGACACGATATCATGTCAGGTACCTTGTTTATATGATATCCAGTCAGGTACCTTTTTACACGATATCCTGTCAGGTACCTTGTTTACATGATATCCTGTCAGGTGATATGTTTACATGATATCCTGTCAAGTACCCTGTTTACAAGATATCCTGTCAGTTTACACGATATCCTGTCAGTTTACATGGTATCCTGTCAGGTACCTTGTTTACACGATATCCTGTCACGTACCTTGTTTACATGATATCCTGTCAGGTACCTTGTTTACATGATATCCTGTCGGTTTACATGATATCCTGTCAGGTACCTTGTTTAAATGATATCCTGTCAGGTACCTTGTTTACACGATATCCTGTCAGGTACCTTTTTCACAAGATATCCTGGCAGTTTTCATGATATCCTGTCAGTTACATTGTTTACATGATATCCTGTCGGTTTACATGATATCTTTTAAGGTACCTTGTTTACATGATATCCTGTCAGGTACCTTGTTTACACGATATCCTGTCAGGTACCTTTTTTACAGGATATCCTGTCAGGTACCTTGTTTACATGATATCCTGTCAGGTACTTTGTTTACATGATATCCTGTCAGGTACCTTGTTTACATGATATCCTGTCTGGTACCTTTTTACACGATATCCTGTCAGGTACCTTGTTTACCTGATATTCTGTCAGGTACTTTGTTGACATGATATCCTGTCAGGTACCTTGTTTACATGATATCCTGTCAGGTACCTTGTTTACATGATATCCTGTCAGGTACCTTGTTTACATGATATCCTGTCAGGTACCTTGTTTACATGATATCCTGTCAGGTACCTTGTTTACATGATATCCTGTCAGGTACCTTGTTTACATGATATCCTGTCAGGTACCTTGTTTACATGATATCCTGTCAGGTACCTTGTTTACATGATATCCTGTCAGGTACCTTGTTTACATGATATCCTGTCAGGTACCTTGTTTACATGATATCCTGTCAGGTACCTTGTTTACATGATATCCTGTCAGGTACCTTGTTTACATGATATCCTGTCAGGTACCTTGTTTACATGATATCCTGTCAGGTACCTTGTTTACATGATATCCTGTCAGGTACCTTGTTTACATGATATCCTGTCAGGTACCTTGTTTACATGATATCCTGTCAGGTACCTTGTTTACACGATATCCTGTCAGGTACCTTGTTTACATGATATCCTGTCAGGTACCTTGTTTACATGATATCCTGTCAGGTACCTTGTTTACATGATATCCTGTCAGGTACCTTGTTTACATGATATCCTGTCAGGTACCTTGTTTACATGATATCCTGTCAGGTACCTTGTTTACATGATATCCTGTCAGGTACCTTGTTTACATGATATCCTGTCAGGTACCTTGTTTACATGATATCCTGTCAGGTACCTTGTTTACATGATATCCTGTCAGGTACCTTGTTTACATGATATCCTGTCAGGTACCTTGTTTACATGATATCCTGTCAGGTACCTTGTTTACATGATATCCTGTCAGGTACCTTGTTTACATGATATCCTGTCAGGTACCTTGTTTACATGATATCCTGTCAGGTACCTTGTTTACATGATATCCTGTCAGGTACCTTGTTTACATGATATCCTGTCAGGTACCTTGTTTACATGATATCCTGTCAGGTACCTTGTTTACACGATATCCTGTCAGGTACCTTGTTTACATGATATCCTGTCAGGTACCTTGTTTACATGATATCCTGTCAGGTACCTTGTTTACATGATATCCTGTCAGGTACCTTGTTTACATGATATCCTGTCAGGTACCTTGTTTACATGATATCCTGTCAGGTACCTTGTTTACATGATATCCTGTCAGGTACCTTGTTTACATGATATCCTGTCAGGTACCTTGTTTACATGATATCCTGTCAGGTACCTTGTTTACATGATATCCTGTCAGGTACCTTGTTTACATGATATCCTGTCAGGTACCTTGTTTACATGATATCCTGTCAGGTACCTTGTTTACATGATATCCTGTCAGGTACCTTGTTTACATGATATCCTGTCAGGTACCTTGTTTACATGATATCCTGTCAGGTACCTTGTTTACATGATATCCTGTCAGGTACCTTGTTTACATGATATCCTGTCAGGTACCTTGTTTACATGATATCCTGTCAGGTACCTTGTTTACACGATATCCTGTCAGGTACCTTGTTTACAAGATATCCTGTCAGTTTTCATGATATCCTGTCAGGTACCTTGTTTACATGATATCCTGTCGGTTTACATGATATCCTGTCAGGTACCTTGTTTACATGATATCATGTCAGGTACCTTGTTTACATGATATCCTGTCAGGTACCTTGTTTACACGATATCCTGTCAGGTACCTTGTTTACAAGATATCCTGTCAGTTTTCATGATATCCTGTCAGGTACCTTGTTTACATGATATCCTGTCGGTTTACATGATATCCTGTCAGGTACCTTGTTTACATGATATCATGTCAGGTACCTTGTTTACATGATATCCTGTCAGGTACCTTGTTTACACGATATCCTGTCAGGTACCTTGTTTACATGATATCATGTCAGGTACATTGTTTAAATGATATCCTGTCAGTTTACATGATATCCTGTCAGTTTACATGATATCTTGTCAGGTACCTTGTTTACATGATATCCTGTCAGTTTACACGATATCATGTCAGGTACCTTGTTTACATGATATCCTGTCAGGTACCTTGTTTACACGATATCCTGTCAGGTACCTTGTTTACATGATATCCTGTCAGTTTACATGATATCCTGTCAGTTTACATGATATCCTGTCAGGTACCTTGTTTATGTGATATCCTTTCAGGTACCTTGTTTAAATGTCATCCTGTCAGGTACCTTGTTTACACTTCATCCTGTCAGGAACCTTGTTTCCACGATATCCTGTCAGGTACCTTGTTTACACGATATCCTGTCAGGTGCCTTGTTTACACTTCATCCTGTCAGGAACCTTCTTTACACGATATCCTGTCAGTTTACATGACATCCTGTCAGGTACGTTGTTTACAAGATATCCAGTCAGTATCCTGTCAGGTACCTTGTTTACATGATATCATGTCAGGTACCTTGTTTACATGATATCCTGTCAGATACCTGTGCATGGGCTTGGTCTTCTTAATCCTTTGTTGTTATGCACTCATTCGAGGCTGATAGGAAATTCAAGCATATAATAAGTCCAGAAGAACAGAGTACCTTCATGTATCTATGCTTGTTCAAGAAAAGAACAGAGAAATTAAAAGATAAAAGAACATGATAACAACATGATTCCATGATCCATAAGCGATTGTCACGAAGTTAGTGCTATTCACTTGTTGCGAGACAGGGCACACATTCGGCATCTATTAAAGTAATAAATAAAGAGTTATTTATTCCCTTAAAAGTTATAATATATACACAGTGTATGATATATGAGTACTCATTGTTTAGGACCTTGGTTTTTGTAGGATGCTCCAACCGAGGATTATTGTCGGATAGACTGTGGTGACTACGAGATCAATCCCTTCGTCTATTTTTGTCACAATGGTGTACGAGTTCCGTGTGACGCCAGTCATTGCCGAGTAAGCCGAACCGAGTACTCGAGCAAAAGATGTGCCCTCTACTGTGGACAGGGTCAGTGTGTGTTAATTATATTATCACTGGAGATCAGTATATGACCATTTTCATACTCTACTCCATATAAGCCTGATATGGGTCGAGGGCTGATACGGAGGATATGGAAATGGTCATATGCTAACCTTTTATCAAATACTGTTCTGTAACGTCAATAATTTTAGCAACAAAACATAACAGAAAAAGTATATCCCATGTGCTAAATATCATCACACTCTAGTTAAAATAGAACACGATGAACAGCCTAGCAAATACATATGGATATACACTGCCAGTCTGAGGTTTGATTTTTCTGAAATTTATTAACGGATATGGTTCGTGCAGATATGGCACGTCGGGCAGATACGGGTTGGTCCGGGATATGGCCAATATACAGCTAACAGTATCATACATGCAACCCCNNNCCCCCCCCCTATCGCGGACAAGTATATGATAATAAATATTTACGAAACGCGACATCTTTCTATTACATATGATACCAATCTGGAGTTGAAGCTATTTACTACAACTAAACTGGTCACAATTAATATTTCTTAATAAAGAAGCAAACGGTGCATGATTTTGTCCAGTGGGAATAATCATCCAAATATACTGGCAACAAACAAATGAGACGTGAGAGACAGTTTTTCAATCACAAATACGAAACTATGATCACTATGAAGTACAATATATCAAGGTTTCCTATTGAGTACTGTATATGATTTATTTGTGTTGCAATTAATGCTCAAAATGTTTCACGAGTGTGATGTATATATCGGGCAACAATTTAATCATTGTGTTTTATTTTGATTCAAAAAGTTTATACAATTGTGTTTTTTTCTTTCAGTCCTGCAAAAGTTGCAAGAACTTCCCAGAAAAAGTAGGTACCATGCATTACAGTGTGAGAATATTCACGTAACTGTAAAAATCCTAATTATATTGACCTATTTTATGTTTGCCTGAAATATTGTTACATTAACCTCGTTGTTATGGTGACTTTAGATGCATCTACGTTCGATTTCTTGTTTCCCCATTTATTTTTGTTGCGTTATCGTATTAGATTGTAGTAGGAATTTGTCCTTGTGGATTGAGACAGTGGTGAACATTACTGATGACCATGTTTTGCGTTTAAAGCCCCCTCCCCTGCAGTGATGCTAGTGGGTTATACTGGAATCAGCCTGACCGCCTGTCACTGTGTCTGAGCATTGATAAAATATTGTCCGTATAAACTTCTCTTTAACTTATAAACATATTTAGACAAAACTTTATATGTATATTCAGTAAATCATGTAGTTGCGCATCTGATATTAATATTTTGGGGTCGACTTATCTTGAAAGGTCTTTTTTTCGCTTCAAGCCCTGTCCAGACAAATATTTCCAAAAAATGTAATTAATCTCAATGAAACACTCTGAGAGTGATACATAGGGTACATGTATACCATATATCAAATAACCAGCCTTTATTGTTTTGGATTCAAAGATGGCGGCCTTGACCTCTGATAGATAGCTATTATAACAGTTATAACTTGAGGTCTATGGAATCAACTTTGTTGATACTGCCTGAGAGTGATAAGTAGGGAATAGTTACAATTTGGGATTCAAGCTAGTCATATGGCTACACATTGGCTGAGACACTTAAACTTTAATTGTCGAGCGGAAGGGTAGGAGCTGTTGTATTATGCACACTGCTCACATCTTATCCTACCCAGATGTTTCTTCCTGCTGTTAAACACAAATACAGAAGATATTGTCATATATTATTATGAATAATACTTATGTAGCATAAGTAATGTTTAAAATATTTTTTATTTTGCATTTTTCTTTTACAGATGCAGCTTTGAAAATGATGCAAGACGAGCTTGCTTCAAAACAGCAGAATTTGAATGTTCAGTATCATATAGTGGCAGGACTTCAGACAGAGAACTCAAAACTGTCAAATCAAACACGATTCCAAAAAAATACCACCATTAAAAATAACAACAAAATTACTTCTCAACAAAAACGCGTTAACGACCTGGAAAATCAGAACAAGGCTTTTATGATCTGTGTAGGTATAGAGTCAGCAATTATAGTTGTGCTAATAATAATACTGGTATTTCGTGGTAAATTATGTGGAAAGCCAAAGGACTCGGGTGTAGATGAGGAACAACCTTTAGTGTAAGTATTCTAATAAATAATGTATGAAACTATTATTACATTTAAATGTGAAGGTATCTATTTCCCAAATATTAACATAATATCAAAAAAAAAATTGATACGTTTTGAATGTATTTATATTCATTGGATTTGATATCGACTTATACAATTATAAAGCTAAATATTCATGTTTGGTGCTGCAATTTTTGGACCCGGTTTTAAAGGAACCAGTCAAATTTTGGGGTAATTTTTAAATAAAAGGGTGTAATGTGATCCTTGGGCATTTCATAGGAGTGGGAAGAATTCTCTACTGCATTCTCAATAAAAACATTTTTTGTCAACTGTACGGACATATAATATCTATTTGACCATAGTGACAGTGGAAAGTGTCTGAAAGAAGAAAGACTGACTAAAGTTCATTTGGAATTGTATAAATGGTATCGACGGTTTCACAGGTAGCTCCTTCTTCGCTAGACAAGGGTACAATCCGATAAACTAGATCCTACCAGTTCGTAACCAGTGGCTAGCGAAGTGGAGATAAATTTCAAATATGGAAAATAATATCAATGCACTAATATCAGTATAGTCATGCATTGAATTGTCATGTCAGTTTAATTCTAATAGTGTCACAAACTAATACCATGAATTTGAAATTTTCCAGAAAATTGTCTGAAAAACAACCAGACACCAAATCCAAGACAAATGATGAATCTTCAGCTGATAGTGCCTTCGGGACGACCAGCTCTGGTTCATCTCAGCCGACCGAAGACCAACAACAAAAACACAAGTGTAAGATATATATATGATGATTTAAACAAAAATCAAAGGGAAACAAATGTTGGTTTGATGCGTATTAGGTATTTGGGCAAAGAAGTAATAACGACAGTGCAGATGAAGAAATTTGTCAAATTTTCAGGGCGGTCTGCTCCTTTATCAAGACATGAAAATTTACATTTCACAACATAAAACAGAGAAAAACAGTCACCATGAGATACAATACAAAATACATTAACAAACAGAAGTTACTTATACTACAACAGCATATTTTACATTTTGATGATCTTCATTTTTACATTTGAAATGTCTTTGACTATCAAAAATACAGCACCAAGATGAAGTACATGCCCTTCTGAGTGACCGAAAGATTCAGTCCATTAATTACCAACCAATATGGAACAAAATATTAAAATTTTGAACCGCAAACTGATTCTAGGGGTGCCCTATAGTAATCACTCTGTCTGTCTGTCTGTCCGTCCACACATTTTGTTCCTGGCTAATAACTTGGTCAAGATGTTCAGTTCACAAAAGTACACACTCAGGTAAAAAGTCAAGGTCAAAGGTCAAGGTCATAAGGTTTAACGGTCCAGGTCAAATTTTGCATCTTTTCACTGATGAGCATTTTGTTATGACATGATGAAGCAAAGTTGATCAGAATTAAACTAGGAGTCAACTGATCGAAGGTCAAGGTAATCGGGTCAGAGGTCTAGGTCAAAGGTCAAGGTCAAATTTTGTAGCTTTTCACTAATGAGCATTTTATGACATTAAGAAGCAAAGTTAGTCGAAATTAAACAAAGAGACACTGAGGTAAAAAGTCGAGGTCAAGGTTATTAGGTTCAAAGGTCAAGGTCTATTTTTGCATTTTTTCACTGATGAATATTTTGTTATGACACTATGAAGCAATGTTGGTCAGAATTAAATAAGGAGTCAACTGAACAAAGGTCAAGGTCATTGAATCAAAGGTCAAGGTTAAATTTTGTATCTTTCCACTGGGGAATATTTCGTTATGATGCTTTGAAGCAATGTTGCTCAGAATTAAACAAGGAGTCAATTGACCAAAGGTCAAGGTCACTGGGTCAAAGGTCAAGGTCAAATTTTGTATCTTTTCCCTGATGAACATTTTGTTATGCCATTATGAAGCAGAGTTGGTCGGAATTCCACAAAGAGTCAACTGACTTATGGTCAAGGTCACTAGATCAAAGGTCAAGGTCAAATTTAGTATCATTTCACTGATGAACATTTTGTTATGACACTATGAAGCAATCTTGGTCAGAATTAAACAAGAAGTGAGTAAACTGACGAAAGGTCAAGGTCACTCGGTCAATGTCAATGTCAAACATTGTATCATTTTACTGATGAACATTATTTGTATGTGATTTTTGAAGCAAAGTTGTTCAGAACTTAACACCGAGTCAAATGACCTAAGTTCAAGGTTACGGGGTCCAAAGGTTCAAGGTCAAGGTCAGGTTTTGTATTTTTTACTGATGAACATTTTGTTATGATATTATGAAGCAAAGTTGGTAGGAATCAAAGAATAATTCAACTGAACAAAGATCAAGGTCACTGGGTTAAAGGTCAAGGTCATTGGGTCCAAAGGTCAAAGACAAAGTGGATCTCTGACTTTGACCCATGGCTCTTGATGGAGGAGGTATTTAAAGTGAAATAAAACATATCAAATCTAACAAATGAGTATTGCACCGGTATTTACATTTCTGTTAGCCTAGCAAATATTGAGGTGGAAGGAAACAAGACTCACATCATAGTACATGTTAATTGTATATTTTGCTTCCTTGCGATTCTTTTTGAAGTCCAAATATCAGACGTCAAGCTCAGCTATATGGGCAGATTGCTTCTTGATGATTATGGCGGATATATTGCCACAAGACGGGGCCCTTACTGACCTGTCAGTGTTCTAGTTTTCTTTCTATATTCCTTAAAGGTTATGAGTTTTCTATTTTGGTATTAAAAAAACACACATTTTGAACGATATATCCTTTTTCACTCTATAATGTTAAAAAAGCAATAAAGATAGTAACAAATTTCAATTTAATGTGTAAACTAACATTGCATGGACAATATTTTATAGTTACCTGACAGGCATGATCGATATTTTAAGAACCACTCAGAAACATAGATAAGTTAGTTCAAATCTTTTCTTGTGCACGTGTTGAATGTATTAATAACACTGGCAGTGGGAAAGTGTTAAGACCGATTCCTAGTGAATAAAGTCATTGACTTTTCTCTAGTATCTCTCAACTTTTTATACATAAATGTCACATGATAACGTTCGTGCGGTAAATTCATATTGGATTTTACAGGAATTTCCATTTCGTATGAGCTCTATGAAGGTATTAGGTGTAAGCCTTAATAACGAATGTTTAAAACAAGCTACTGGCAAGCCAATATGAAAAAATAATCATGTCAAGTTCACAAATTCTGTATGATGTCGGAACGTGTTTCAGATCCTTTTTATTAAATTATCAAGAATTTTTGCAATTAATACGAAAACGATATATATTGTTTCCATTGTGATATCATTATATTATTTTTATATCATTTGATGATGTCATATTAGGTCACTTTCATAGCAGAAACTAGGACGACTGCATACATTTATGACCTTATTGCAGAGGGGTCAATTTTTCCTTTTTTGTTTCTGAAAGATATTGGCATTATTTCAGTTTCGCACAACACCGCTGATGTCATTATTCCTAACTAACCCTCTATAAGAAAGAAGTGTTATAATAACTGATATACATTAAATATAGCCACTATTCAGTCATTATAAATGATGGACTGTAAATATAACCACTACACAGAAAATATAACCACCACACAGTAAATATAAGCGTCATTCAGTGAGTGCTATAATAACTGCTATACAGTAAATATAACTATTATATACTAAATATAACCGCTATATACAGTTAACATAATTGATGAACTGTAAGTTTAGCCACTACACAGTAAATATAACCACTACACAGTAAATATAACCACCACAGAGTAAATATAAGTGTCATTCACTGACTGTTATAATAACTGCTATACAGGAAATATAACTGTTATACACTAAATATAACCACTACACAGTAAATATAAGCGTCATTCCTTGAGCGCTATAATAACTGCTATACAGTTAATATAATTGATGGACTGTAAGTTTAGCCACTATACAGTAAATATAACCACTACACAGTAAATATAACCACTACACAGAAAATATAATCACCAGGTGTTCCGTGGATGATATCAGATCATACCTGGAATCTCGTAACGTCAATGTTACGTTTGTTCGTCTGCTTAAAAGCAAACGGAAATATTCTGTGTCTGCGCGTGTCAACGTGATCTCGTCCGATATTCCAAAGACAAAGGAAGCTGGGTTTTGGCCAAAAGGCATCCACTGCCGCAAGTGGTTATCAAATAACCAGTTCTACGGTAACAAGGAAAACACAGCATTTGACGATGATGAGTACTAGTAGCTTTATTTTTGTACTCCTTTTGCTTTGGTTTTGCCTACCCATGTCGATGAACATTCGGTTAATGTCGTGGAACGTAACCGGCATAATGTCGGCTGCTTCTCATCTGCATGACGCATTAAACAGGGAACACGTCGATATCTGTGGAATAGCGGAGCACTGGCTTTTCGAAGAAAATAGGCACCTATTTTGTAGTATTCATAAAGACTACGAGTCGATAGCCATATCTGACTTTTCCCTACATCCGTTTGCGGATAAACGATCTCGTAAAGGCGGTGTTGCTATAATGTGGCACAAAAGACTTAACGATCGTGTGTCTGTCGTGGAGTCTGATGACGACAGGATCGCCATTATTAAGCTTGTCACGGACAGTGATATTCTTTATTTCATCCAGGTTTATCTTCCTACTTCTCGGTATGGCGTGGATATATTTACGGATTATGTTGAGAAACTTGATGACTTGTGCACAACTTTTTCCCTTGAAGGATCAGTAATTCTCATGGGAGATTTCAATGCTCGCCTAAGCGGTCCACGTATCCCTAATTATCAAAACCAGCGTGGTCAGTCGCTCCAGAGACTCATTGACCGGCATCAGTTGTGCGCGTTGTCAACAGCTGATATATGTGTCGGTCCGTTGCACTCGTATGTTCATTCGGAGGATGGATCGTCGTCCCTTATAGACCACATTATCATCAACTCGTCAAAAGTTGATCTCGTCTGGGAATGCGCTGTACTAGATCGTGACTTCCTTGATGTTTCGAACCACAGGCCTTTGTTATGCGAGCTACACATTCCTCTTCCTGTTCCTAGGGAAACGTGTTGTAATACTCTGACGCGAGTCTCTTATAAGTGGATTACTTCTGGAGATTCTAAGAATGTTGATGTTTATCGCGATAGCCTGGATGAATGCATCAGTAACTCGTCGTTAGTGAACATGCAAGAGCTTTGTTCTGAGGACGATGTTGAGAATTACACCAACGAGCTTGTGAATTGCATTCAGCGGACTTCAGAACGTGTGTTACCGAAGCGTAAATTCTGTAGATTCCTTAAACCGTACTGGAATAATCATCTAAAGGAACTCCATCGTAATATGTGGCGGTTGCGTCTGGAATGGATCTCTCAAGGACGACCTCGGGACCCCCTCTCCAATACCTTTAGGCTCTATAAAAATGCAAAGTGCCTATTTAGGAAAAGACATCGTCAGGTATCAGAAGACCATATTGTAAACCTCAACAACGACATTGAGAAATGTGCGGATGTAAATCAAAAATCGTTTTGGTCTCTCATCAAAAGTCGCTGTAAGTCATCCTCGGGTGCTGTTGGCGCTGAAATGAACTTTAGCGGGAGGGTCATTAGAGACCCTGCTCTTCTAGCCATACATTGGGGTGAATATTTTGAAGACATATATTCCCAGTCGTCTCTTAATGACTTTGATGCTAATTTTGCAGACCAAATCAATACATCTGTTGCCAATATTCTATCCAATCATATAGTAAACAATGAATGTTTTGTTGAAATTTCTATGTCTGACGTTAAAAAGGTCTGTAAAAGTTTACCACAAGGTAAAGCAGCTGGGCACGATCAAATTGTGTACGAGCATTTACTCTATGCCCACGACACTGTGTACAACTGTTTGTATGTTCTTTTTAATGCTTTTTTAAGATTGGAGTATGTTCCTCCTGTACTAACAAAGGGTCTGATCTGTACACTATACAAAGGTCATAACAAGCCAAAGAGTGACCCCAATAGTTATCGTGCTATCTCTCTGTTGCCAGTGATTCTGAAAGTCTTTGAGAAATTATTACTTATCAGACTTGAGGATACAAACTTGTTTATACCTAACCCCTTACAGAATGGATTTCAAAAGAATGTAAGTAGTACTTTCACGTCATTTCTAGTCCATGAATCTATCACATATGCGTGTGATAATAACAGTAAACTTTTTACATGTTTTCTTGATGCTGCCAAAGCATTTGACTGTGTTTGGCATAACGGCCTATTTTTCAAACTTCACAGTTTAGGTCTAAATTCAAAGTATATCAATATCATTGTTTCATTATACTCAAATATGTACAGCGCAGTATTGCACCAAGGTTTTATTTCTAACTGGTTTAAGATATGCCAAGGTACGCGTCAGGGAAGCATTATTTCTCCCTGGCTGTATACAGTTTTTATTAATGATTTACTGGATGAGTTATGTGCTTCACAGTACTCTTTACTTATACATGGTGTAAATGTTACTTGTCCAACTCAAGCAGATGATATTACCCTTCTGTCTTTTTGTAAACATGGCTTGGACTGTCTCATGGACATCTGCTACAGTTACAGTTGTAAGTGGCGATTTAGTTACAACGCATCAAAATCTACCGTAATTGTTTTTAATGAAAGCAAAAGTGTCTTTTCAAAGATAACACGCAGATGGAGTCTCGGCAGCGAAGCACTCCCTGAATCTATTCATTGTAAACATGTCGGTATCTTTTTGAATAAGTTCAAACCAGGCTGTCCAGATGTCAATGAGATTGTTCACAAGCTACGTGGTCAATGTTTTGCTTTGCTTAACTGCAACTTATTTGGTACTGGAATCAACCCATTGACCGGTGCTAAGCTGTATAAAACAATTGTAATGCCAAGTAGCCTTTTTGGCGGTGAACTCTGGTATTCACTTTCCGAGACCGAATGGAATCGCATTGAAACAGTTCACCATTTGTGTGCAAAGCTCATTCAAGGTTTTCCGCGGCGCACTAGATCAGATATTGTCCTTAGTATGCTTGGACTTACGTCCATACGTCTAAACATTGAACTATCGAAACTTCGATTCTTCTCTGCTTTATGCAGAACAGATGCACGTTTTACAGCAAAGAGATTGTTCTTACTGAGACTTTTTCATGTATATTTTGGCATTTGTTGTAACGAAAAAGGTTTTGTTCTAGACATCTGGAACATACTTCACAAATATGATCTACAAGACTTTTTGTACCAATTTTTGCAAACTGGGTTTGTCCCGGTTAAAAACTATTGGAAACACTTCACAAAAGGTGTCGTATTAGGTGAGTACTCCTCGCAATGGAGTGAACGTCTCAATGCTTGTGATGAGTTCTTAAGATTTAAACACCTACATTGTGAGATCAGCCCTTCGCCACTATGGTACCTATCTAAATGTTTCCCTTATCTCAACACAACGTGTAAAAACGTTGCAAAGCTATGGGGTATTCCACCTAATAGTGAACTATCATGTGCCCAGTGCAATATCTTTGCAGAAGATGCAGTTGCGCATTGTATTTTAGACTGCCGTAGTCCCACATTGCTAACTCTACGTGATGAACTTTTCACCAAGATAGTCAACGATTATCCGGTGAATGTGTATGTTGTTCTTGCTAACTCATGTAGGGAGGTGCAAATTGCGACATTCCTCGGCAGTCCATCTGCTGCCATGAAAGACATATTTGTTAATGAGGACAGCCTTTTCGCATCTTTTGCAAGAGATTGTTGTATTTATGCTGAAAAAGTATCCCTTCTTACATTTAATTAACGACGATAGTCTGCCAGACATGTAAATCATATGCATTCGTATTATATCTGGTTCATCCTGGCAATTTGACAGTCCTGTCGTTACATACATGTTCCCTTGCTGTTTGATATAGTCCTGTGTATGTCTTTATTTATCGTTGTGTACCTCATATATTGTGTAATCATGCAACTTTTTTTGTTTGATTCCACTGATTTTTCTTTTTCATTTTGCGTTATACTTATGTATTTTGTGTATCTATTTTTGTAACCCATATATATGTCATTTGTAACTCTTCAAATTTGGAGGAATAAAGATATGAATGAACACAGTAAATATAAGCGTCATTCAGTGATTGTTATAATAACTGCTATACAGGAAATATAACCGCTATACAGTCAATATAATTGATGGACTGTAAGTTTAGCCACTAAACAGTAAATATAACCACTACACAGTAAATATAACCACTACACAGTAAATAAAACCACTTCACAGTAAATATAAGCGTCATTCAGTGAGTGTTATAATAACTGCTATACAATAAATATAACCGCTATACAGTCAATATAATTGATGGACTGTACGTTAAGCCACTATACAGTAAATATAACCGCTACACAGTAAATATAACAACCACACAGTAAATATAAGCGTCATTCAGTGAGTGCTATAATAACTGCTATACAGTAAATATAACTGTTATACACTAAACATAACCAATACACAGTAAATATAAGCGTCATTCAATGAGTGCTATAATAACTGCTATACACTAAATATAACCGCTATACAGTTAATAATTGATGGACTGTAAGTTTAGCCACTACACAGTCAATATAAGCGTCATTCAGTGAGTGTTATAATAACTGCTATACAGGAAATATAACTGTTGTACAGTTAATATAATTGATGGACAGTAAGTTTAGCCACTATACAGTAAATATAACCACTATACAGTAAATATAACCACCACAGTAAATATAAGTGTCATTCACTGACTGTTATAATGACTGCTATACAGGAAATATAGCTGTTATACACTAAATATAACTGCTACACAGTAAATATAAGTATTAGTTCCTAAACAACAGTAATAAGTAGCAAAAGGCTGTGTTGTGTACAAATATATTCGTGTGGAATTGCATCAACTTTGTGCTGGACGTAACTGATTAATCAACATACATGTACCGGTGCATTTCTTTACCATATATTGTTGATTAGGCTGTTGCATGTTTTAGAAAATTTTGCCTTTAAATCCCATTGAGGGGGAATAAAAACATTCTGTATTTTATCAAATCATCAATCTTCAGAACAAAATGTAATGCTAACATTACTTTCTGAGTGGAAACTGAACGATTATCAGTATATCATGAATACATTATTTTGTTTGAATTACAGGCGATGAACTGATTAAACCCACTGACGACAATGTGAAGGCTCCTGTAGTTACGTCTGCTGCGAACCACTTCTGCTGATTCTCCCATAGACATGTCTTAAGTCGCAGAGGAGGGCTCATAGACACGTCTTAAGTCGCAGAGGAGGGCTCATAGACACGTCTTAAGTCGCAGAGGAGGGCTCATAGACACGTCTTAAGTCGCAGAGGAGGGCTCATAGACTCGTCTTAAGTCGCAGAGGAGGGCTCATAGACTACATTATCTACATGCATCTATGTATCTACATCTTATCCAAAGAGTGTTTCTTGATTACATTTTCGATCAAAGAGCAAAAACAAAAAACTTCGAAAACCAGTGTCATTTAAATTGACAAACATTACTTATAGACCCCTACCGGGTTCCGGGGTTGGAGAGACTACAAGTTTGCACTCCATCTGTCCATATTTCCAGGGGTTTTGTCCGGAGCATATCTTAAATACTATGTTTCGTGAATGAACATATTTGGTGTGCCAGTTCATCTTGGGATGGTTGAGTGCATAGTATGAGAAGAGGGTCACTGTAAGCTGTTCTTTGACCTATGACCTTACCCTTTGATAAATTATGGCATATCTCCTATACTATTTCACCAGGATTACCTTATTCAGTATGCAGGTATATATCATGATGGCGAAGGACAGTTTATGAGAAGTAGATCACTGATGTTTGCTTTGACCTCTAAATTCAGTCATTGAAAAGGTTTGTCCAAAGCATATTTTTGATACCGTTTCTCCCAGAATAACCCGATTTGGTGTGCAAATGAATCCCGAGAAGTCACTGTGATTTATTTGGGGTTTTTTTGTTTGACCTGTGATATCAATCATTGGCGAAATTTACCTTATTGTGTATCAGGTTATGTTTTTTTACTGTAGGTCGTTGCTGAAATACATAGTTCGGTAAATAAAGAAATCATTATCAATGGGGGACTATGGAATGCCGTGCAATACTTACTTTCTAGTTTTGATTGTGACATCACAGTTTAGGCACCGTTGATTTGTGAGATCACACTAAGGATATGGAATTGACCATCACCGGTTGACAATTCGATATCCTTCAGATTGACAGGTAGATAGCTATTTATCCTTCACTTCAATCTTTCCCAATTTTGCTAGGGAAAACTAAACCAATCGTTACCTAACTAGAGAAAGACAACTCATACACGCTGCTATTCTGAAAACGTCACGAAACCAGGGTAAAGTCATCAATTTGTTACACATTTTCGTGCTCCTTAGATAAAAGCCTGGTGCAGTGAAGAGAGTTCACCTCTACAAATTTTTTTACGGTAGCAAATTTTGGAAGAAAAAAATCACTACTAACACCCGTGTGATGCAGACAGAAGTCTAACCCCTCTGGATAAGATTTTTAAAATTTTGCACTCGGAAAACCTCAGGCTTAACTTGAAAATATATATTTTTTTGTCAATATGAAAGGGGTGCTAGATTCAAAATTGTAATCATATACGAATAGAAAAACAAGAAATCCGACATATTTGCTCGTGTAACATGTTACCACCTGAAAAAACAGAATCGTTTGGATGAATGCATTAATATGCTATTATGTGTAAAAAAAAAATGGATTTTAGATATGTCAATAAGGATAACGTATATAAAAGACATATACACGGAGACACTGATGCAAAAATAATATATATAAACCTATGACATCAAACGCACAAGAGCAATACCAAATAAACTGAAACAGAAAAAAACAAAAACATAAAAAGCAACAAAAAACAAAATACAAAACATTATAGGGGATGGGGGAACAATCCTAGGTCATTCTATTTTAACTTATAAGCCTGGCGAATTAAAATGTATGAAATATTTGATGATTAATTATTACAGTGAGGAGACGATAAAGTACAATAGATGTATATATGTATAGAACAAATATGTCATATATATATATATAGTCATATTGGAACTGCATCCAGTTATCTATTTGATGGTTTAACTCATCTCTATTTATTAATATATTCTGTTTAGACACAAGGCTCTTTTGTGCTTTTAATTCAAATGTCATATGGTTATTTTGATGTTTTCTATATCAAACTTTGTATGTTTATATGCATGTTTACCAAAAATTAATTCTTGTTTATCAAATCTTAGTGGAAGGTTTTTAGCCCACCATCATCTGATGGTGGGCTATTAAAATCACCCTGCGTCCGTGGTCCGTCGTCCGTCCGATGTCCGTCGTCCGTCCGTAAACAATTCTTGTTATCGGTATGTCTCAAGAAGTACTAGAGGGATCTTTCTCAAATTGTATATGCAGGTTCCCCTTGGTCCTTAGCTGTGCAGGGCAACTATTGAGACTGATTGGATAAATAACATGGCCGACAGGCAGCCATCTTGGATTTTGATAGTGAAATTTTGTTATCACTATTTCTCAAGAAGTACCAGAGGGATCTTTCTCAAATTTTATATGTAGGTTTCCCTTGGTCCTGAGCTGTACAGATCAACTTTTGAGACTGATCGGATAAACAACATGGCCGACAGGCAGCCATCTTGGATTTTGATAGTGAAAGTTTGTTATCGCTATTTCTCAAGAAGTACCAGAGGGATCTTTCTCAAATTTTATATGTAGGTTCCCCTTGGTCCTTAGCTGTGCAGGGCAACTTTTGAGACTGATCGGATAAACAACATGGCCGACAGGCAGCCATCTTGGATTTTGATAGTGAAAGTTTGTTATCGCTATTTCTCAAGAAGTACTAGAGGGATCTTTCTCAAATTTTATATGTAGGTTCCCCTTGGTCCTTAGCTGTGCAGGGCATTTTTTTGAGACTGATCGGATAAACAACATGGCCGACAGGCAGCCATCTTTGGTTTTGATATTGTAGGTTTGTTACCGCTATTTCTCCGGAAGAACTAGAGGGATCTTTCTTAAATTTTATATGTAGGTTCCCCTTGGTCCTAGCTGTGCAGGGCAATTTTAGAGACTGATCGGATAAACAACATGGCCGACAGGCAGCCATCTTGGATTTTGATAGTGAAAGTTTGTTATCGCTATTTCTCGGGAAGTACGGGAGGGATCTTTCTCAAATTTTAAATGTAGGTTCCCCTTGATCCCTCGTTGTGTATGTTATATTTTGAGACTGATCATAAAAACAAAATGGATTAAAAGAAGAACTAAACAGATCTTTCTCATATTGCAATGATCGATTCTATTTCTTTCACATTAAGTACTGTACTAGTAAATATGTGAAATGACAAACTCACTTTGAAGGTTGGCTTTCATACACATCAGTATTAAGTTTAGATCAAAAGTTACCTCAAGGTGCATTTACTGTTAACATGACTCGATCAAACAGATTAGAGGAAAGAAGAGAAAAGATCGAACTAACAAAGAACTAATGAAGATGGTACAAAGGTGGGTGCCAAGATCCCTCTGGGATCTTTTGTTAGTTATAATATTTGTTTTCAGCTCCTCAATTAGCCTATCAACTTTTCCACAATCCCATAGCACATGAACTAGTGTGTCAGGGTGGATTTTACAGAAAGTGCAAAGGTTATTGTGTGATTTGCCAATTTTGAATACAAATCAGTTTGTAGTGAGGATTCTGGTTTATTCTGTACTGTAGCCACTGTAGTTTGGAGTTGGTGGTAGTTTTAAAAGGACATTAATTTTTTTTTTTCAATGTTTCTTCATCTATATTATCATTTAAGATCCATTTTCTTTAAGCAGTAGGTTTAACATTATTTTTAATTAATATTGAATAAATGTCTTGTGCTCCTTTACTATTTCTAAGTATTAACTTAAGATTGATAGGTATATTTGGAAAAATAACTGCTTTTTCTGGAGTAAAAATGTGATGATTTTTTCTTATAAACTGAAGCCCAGGATAAAGACAACTTTGTAAATGTGAATATACATGTATTATTTGTACATAATATCATTCTACATAGAAGGTTATGCAATCGTAAAAGATTTTCAGATGAAATTTTCTCTACTAGTATTGGATATTATTCAAAAAAATGTATTCTACCAGCCCCATCAAGCGTGCTTGATTGTGACAGAACCCCGGTTTGTTATAAGCTGTTGAAAGTAACTGAGATTTTTGTATATCTTCAAACAAAATTGGCGCCATTCTACTTCATTCTGTACGTTTCAGGAACTACCTTGTATCGATTTTGAATTCGCGTTAAAAAAAATCAGTGGGTTATCATGCAAGAACAGCGATCATGACGTCACTATAATTCCGTCAATTAAGCAGCTGTAAACCAACATGGCAGCATTTCTTTTTCATCTTTTGGGGGAAAAAAAGGATTTATATTATTGTTTTGAACCAAAAAGTCATTTGATTTAACTTATCGAATAAAGGATTGTGTGATTGTTGCACAGGGCCTTCTGTGTAGAAATAATGTTTTTTAGTCTTTGACGATTTGTGAAGCTTCATCAGTGTTGCTTGGCTTGTTATAGGAGTTATAAACACCATTAGCATAGCACCTCTCTTACTGGTACATGTACTTATAATATCCATCGTGAATTTGAAGGGAGAGAAAGAAGGAGGTATGTAATTACGATGTGTTAGGGTTGATACTCCTACCATTTTCTTCTGCTATAAACCGGTCTTAAAAATCTTTTGATCATTTATGTTTCTGTAAATATATATATTTTTAGCAGGGTGCAATTTTGACGTATGATAGAATTTTGACAGATTAGTGCATTGATGAATGGGCGCACTTAACAATTTATACATTATATGAAACTATATCTACAAACTTCAATTAGCACAGTTATAATTTAGCGCAATATTTCAAACACAGAAACCGCTAAAATTATGATACCTCTGAAATATGTAGTTTACAGTATACATGTATTATCATACGTAGAAAAGGGAAGACTGCGCTCATTTTACCGGAGTTAGAGAGTCATACACTCATTCACAGTAATGTAAGAGGAAGATGTTGACATATTGACAAACATCATCACCTGTAGCACAGTTCGTAAGCTCCCTGCTTTAATATTGCATTATTCTGGCGGAGACGTTTGCTTTTGTAAAAGGGAAATTTATCATTAATACATATCTTTCCTAGTTTTGTGCAGTAATAAAAGGGAAAGCAACTCCATGTCCTCAAAATTGGAAGTATTCTTCATTGGCGATACGACACCGAGTGCTAGGTTTCTGTACTTTTATATTTACAACGTATTAGTAAAAACATAGGTATTGTGGATTTTTTGTTTAATTTGAAAATAGGAGTAGAGTAATATGCCTACATTGTCTTTCGAGAGGCTTCAGATTGCTGCGTATAAAATAAAACATTCGCACGTTATTATGCAGATACCTTGGTGAGAACATGTGTAGTGGAGTTATAAATGTTCTTAACCTATTGAGATTATACGAAGGCCAATAATTGCCCTAGAAACATTAAGTCGTAGTGAAAGGTCTCCCTTTTTACCCGGTGTTATTATACATTAATTTTATTATGAAGAATTAACTTATTGTACTTAAGTTTATGATTTCCTCAAACAAAGTTTGTGGACTTTTTTTAATACGCATTTTTCCTTCAAAAGGGACAAGTGGAAGCTTCTTACATGTATAAGTCAAAATTAAACTTTTCCAATTGTTATATCTGGGTTTGTCCATGTACATTACGGCACTGCGAACTCTATCGCGACTAAAAATTTTCCACAGATTTTCCTTATCGTCAATTGGGAAATTATTCAACTTGGTAGGATTTAATATAATCATGTGATGACAGTGTGTGCGTGGTAAGACCTTGATCCATTCTAGAGTAATGGGGGTTCCAATTGGAAAAGTTAACTTAAATTTCATCCAATGAATTCTTCAGACCAAGATTCGCTTGAATCACATGCATTGCATTGATTTAAATGTTTAACGTACTTTATAAAAACTGTGAATTCTATTACCAGGGATGACCTCCTTCTTCCCCTTGCCTCGGGCGAATTGTTCATAGCAATGCGATATTCATTTGAACATTGTTACATCAGAACCGAAGTGTATGTCTGTGATTAATGTATGTTTCTTGAATTGGTTGGTTGTCTCTGTATGTGCGCTTCAATAATTAAGTTTATGTACTATACCTTAAACTGTTCGATGATGTTAATGTAAAAAGGAGAGATATATTTGTATATTATGAAGTATTGAAGTGATTGTAGTCTTATGCAAACTAAATTATGCTACCTCTGAATGTGACGGAAAAGGTGATAAGTATTTATTGTATACATACAAGCATATTCGTCGTTTCTCACAAGATGTTGCACTGTTTTATGTAAAAAAAGAAATCCCAAATTGTTCAATTGCGTTGAATTTTTCACTATTTAAAAAAATCACTTATCCATAAATAGTCGGTCTGTAGATGTAATTATGTCGTGCATTTTTGGTGGAGTTATGCCCCTTTTATTGCCAAATAAGGGTAATGTGTAGTAAATGCAAGAACTTTTTTATTTTTGAAGTAATTCCTTTCAAATTTGTGCGGTAACGCTAGAAGCATTAATGTTCAACAAATATTACGGGTTTAATGTCGACTTTCAACCATTCTTACTAAAAGCGCTGAGCATCCTTTCCCGTGGAATTCTTGTTTTTAGAAATAGTCGGTCTGTGGTTGTAATTTCTGTCTAGAAGTTCATATACATATAATTCTATATAGAATGTAGATAATCCACAAAAGAACAAAATCATTGGAACAACCAGATACAACTGGTGATTTTGCATTTAACGACCTAATTTCTACTTATTTGGGTGTCGGTTTAAGGCTCAATAAGTAAATGATCTGATAGAGTTCCAATTTGTTACAGTAGTATCCTTTTTGCAACTTATTCAGTTCGTCACCTCGAACTACAATTTTTTACCTTTATCCGTCTTTTTTGTATATCTATGAAAAGGAATTGTGTTATTTTGTTCACCTTTGACATTTTGGCCCTCACAAATTGATTTTGCCCGTACATCATAGATATTGATTTAGTTGATCATCATACTGCTGACTAAGATACGTTTACTTGAGTCACAAACTTAAAAATTCATAGTGAATTAACGTTTTATAGTACTAATGTTAATTATGAATTTGTGGACATGTTTTGTGCTTAAGTTCCATGAAAATGCATTGAATACGATTAAACATTTTTTTACACTAAAACAGTAGTACATATTTAACCAAGATGAAACAACACCTTATTACAGATGCAATGGGTTTTGACTGTATATGATGTCTGTCGGTATAGTAATAATGAT